CTCTATCAAGTTTAGCACCTGGATTCTTGACAAATGAAAACCTAAGAGAAGATGAATGTGGAAAGGAGTCTGGTGCTGATAGTGGTGGTAATTGTGCTAAACCTTCTATCACTACAATGGACTCTTTTAGTGATTCTATGAGGAAAAGAAGCTCTCTTAAAACTAATATTTCATATGGATGTTTACTTAAACCTCTAACTTCCCTAGATAGTTGCCTCATGGCTCAGCTATATATGCAACATGTTAAAATGGAAGAGTACGTACTTAGTTCCCTTCCATCGCTATCAACACCAACCTTGAGACCATTGGTGATAACTGATGGAAGTCGAATAATCAGCAGAGCAAGTCATGATTTTTCTGGTGGATCAAATGTAACTGGGGACAATAAACTGCATAATGAAGCCACTCTCAAAAAGAGTGGATATGTGCTTGGGATTCCTCCATTGCCAAAAATTGAGTCTTTGGATCTCCCCAAGAAGTTGAAATTAAAGAGAGGAAGTGGGCGCAATGGAAGACTGAGCATTCCTTGCAAAATTGGTACTGAAAAGCAGTTTCATTCACAACAAGGTACTGTTCTTACATTGTTATGAATATCGCTATTACCTTTTATGTCAATGCTATTTTGGAAAAATGAGGGGGTTTCTTAATGCTAGCCTATGCTTAGAAGTCAAATAAACATTTCATTTGATTAAAGTAAAAATGGAAGTCATTCTTACTATTGAATGCTATTCTTTGTCAGATTATTGGCTTTCTTGCTAAATATGTTAGATATTGAAAGAGAAGTAATTCAAAAATATGTACTTACTGTTGGTTAAATAGGGAGTGCAAGCATGCTACCATCATATCTGCTTATGTGAACACAGTTACACTTGCCATATTCAGTCGTATCAATGTGATTTCTTTTTGTTGGCCATTACTTATTTATTTATTTATTTATTTTTGGTTGTGGGGCAGGCATTTTTGGGGTGGTTAACTCTAGTTGGACCTTCCAGAGTTCAAAAAAGACAAGGAATAATTAGTAGGATCAATTGCCTTTTCTCCATCTTCGTCATGAGTTAAACAGCATTAGAAACTGTTTCTTATAATTTCATTCCATGTTACTCGGACTCAAAGCCAGAGTCATATGTGGGTATGTGTTCAACACATGTGCATTCTATTTTTTCTAAGTTTTCCCTTATATTTGGAGGGTTAGACCTCCATACCCATGTCAGTCGGAAATGTGTCGGACAGGGGTAGTTCAGGGAAAATAAGAGTCAGAGGGATGTTTAATGCCTCTTGAAACAATTCTTTATTTTGGTATCTGATAAATTCTTCTCCAAATTCAGTGATTTATGAGAGGAGCTTAAGCTTGATGCAGAAGAACATGATTTGCCAATAAATTTTATTTATTTATTTATTTATTCTACATTTTGGATATAAATATGTCTCCCTTGCTTCATTGCACCAGAAGCAATAGTATTTTACACTCACTTGTTATGTTAGATGTAAGCCATGTATTCACTAATATACAAGGTCTATATATATATATACTTTTAGCACTAGCAAGAAAAGCAGTGGACACTTTTTTGATGAATAGGCACCCTAGTCTTCTGTCAAGATTTTTTTAATATTTTATTAATTCATTATACTTATGATATTTCTCTTGTAGTCTAGGCAACTGCATGTCCTAAACCTTTTGTACTTACCAGGTTCACATCATGGAGTGATTCTATTTTGCCTTGGGATTTCTATTGGTTTAATATCGTCTTACATGGGAAATAGAAGGGAAGTGGACAAATTGAGAGGGTTGTTAAAGCAGACAGAGAACTTGGTTCAGGATCTACAAGAAGAACTTGAGATGAAAGATTCATTGACAGTGAAGGAGCTAGCTAATGAGAATTATGAATCACGGGAGACATATGACAATTCATTTCATGACAGGGCAACAAATTCATGTTCCCTTGAACAGAATATAGATAATTCTACAAGATATGATGGTAAAGAATTATATTATGAAAAGGTAAAGGAAAGCTCAGAGTCCATAAGTAAAATTGAAGCAGAGCTTGAAGCTGAACTTGAGAGGTTGGGACTAAACATGAATGTATCTAATATGGAGAGAAGATTATCTGATCTCGTTGAGGTAAGCTTGTATCTATCTTGGCATTCCCTTGAGCTCTTTGGATGGTCTCATGAATGCTTTATTTGTTGCATTTGCATCAGCCTTGTGTATGACTGCGCCAGTTCTTGTATGGCATTTTTTCAGTTTCTTTTTTAAATATCATGGGAGGATTATTCAGTTCGCTAAAGACCACTATCAAAAATTGATACCGACAACTTCAATTTTTTATTATCTTGTGTACTCTGCAAATGTCTCTTGAGAAATTACTATGAAACTATGTTGATTGAATCTTGTGAGAATGCAATTTTCTGATTGTAAATTTAATATTTCGTGTTCAATTTCAAATCTTGAAAACTGGAATATTTGGTCATGTAATTTGCTTGTTTGATGCTGGATGGAACTTTATATGTTTTGTAGTAGTTAGAAACCAGAAGGGCAAGACTTGGGTAAAGGTCCTTAAGTCAAAGTTTGTGAGGCTCCTTATTAAAAACAATAAAATAAAAACTAAATTTGAAAATTCAAACCAATAGATTGAAAGACTCTTATTACATAGATAAAGTATATAAAATTTCAAATAGTTTGAATATATTTTGATATTTTATTAAAATAGGCATTTTCATTGAAAATTTGGACAAAGTTTGTACCATTCAATAAACATCGATCAAAGTTTGTGCATACATGCTATTTTTAATTAAATTTTTACATATTATTGATCTTCTCACTAGACTCTATCAATCTATCAGTTTAAATTTTGAAATTTTAGTTTTTATTTAATCATTTCAAAGAGAAGCCTTTGGAACTCCTAAGGAACCTCACCTAAGTTCTCTCCAAAACCACGAAGTCCAAGAATTATCAGAATGAAATGATAGAGATCAGGATGCAACCTCTTCCTTGTTGGATGAGGCAATGGTTCAAACGTTTGTCAATGTGTTATTCACAAAGGAGTGGGGAAGGCATTGCCATTATTAGACTAATGAAGCATAAATTTCTTGTATGAATATCTTCTGATTTTAGATGATAATTTCTCTTGCCAGAGGAAGCTGAGTAAAAGCACCGTTTCTTAATCACTGTCGTGGTGTGCAGCTTGTTTAGCATGTGATATCTTCTATTAGAGTTCTTTTTCTTTTTAAATACTATGAAAGATACGTTTTATACTTTTTGTTTCTCACTTTATTATGTAGTTTGTTTCCCATGAAAGATGGTTTTTGTCCTTTTTTGCTGGAGGCTTATGTAGTTGCATATTTCTCCAAATGTTTAACAGGTAGATGTAGTGCATATCAAACAAAAACATTTGGGTTAATTTGCCTCTTATTGGAATTTTGTTTCAAGGTTGTCAAATTGTTTTTCATTTGCATATTTCTAAGGATTACCTCTTACCAATAGATATGACTGTCATGGCTGCTTGATTCTTTGCACATGACATTGCTGTGTGTTGACTGTTTTGAATATTTTATAGGAGTTACAAGCAAATAAAATAAGCAAAACATGATGGAAAGGCAGAAACCTTTCATTGTGAATTTATTCTGAGAGAAGTATAGTCTTTTCTTCCTATATATATAGTAAGAAAATAGTTGTCTATTTAGCTTTGGTGATTTTACTTAGCTGTTTGCTGTTGCATTTATTTTTTTCCTTCCACCCAACCTTGCTTGTATGTCCAAATGATACAGCTAAAAATTCATGCAGCTTGACCCAGATTTTGTAGCGGATTTTGCTGAAGGTGAATTGAGATCTGACAAGGTCAAGGATCAGGCTCTTGTCCAATCTGTGCCAAATGAAGATAGAAGTGGCACCTCAACTACTCACTCCGGAAATTATGCATTCTCACCTCGAGAGTTGAGCTTGCGTCTGCATGAAGTTATTCAATCAAGGCTTGAAGAACGTGTACAGGAACTTGAGACAGCCCTCCTGAACAGCCAGAGGAAGGTGAAACTAATGGAACCAGTGCCTAACAACTCTTTGAAGATATCTGGCAGTGAATGGAAAAATTCCTCCACCCCAGAGAGTCTGACTAACAAAGAGTTTGATTGCATGTCCAAGCCTCTAGTTATGAATTTATCAGGGGAAGCTCTAGATGCATACAACGAGGCTTGTGAAGAGTTGTTAAAGGTTGATGAGTCAGAAGAGGAGGATGCACCATCAGATCATTATCAAAATAACCACCATCATGAGGAGCTGCATATGTTTGATGGAAACATGTCATGGGGTGGTCAAAATACCGGAGACGGTTCACTGCCAAATCCTACGCACCATGCAATGAATATATCAGAGGAACCTTTTCCTGGTCAGGGAAGAATATTGGAAGAGCATTCCTCAAGGGTCCAGGAATTACTGGACATTGGTGTAAGTGAAGATGAATCTAGTGATTGTGATGATGAGATGGAGAAACAACTGATACAGCAGATTGTGGAAAAAACCAAGAAAGGATCTCCTGTACTGCTAAATGCACAGAGGATACTGTTTTCTATGTATGAAATTTAACACTCAGATTAAAATGATAAAAAATGGGGAAACTAAAATTTTTGTAGTGCATACATATAGAAGTACTTTGTATTCTTAAGCGAGTAATTACCCATTCACTTTTTTGATTCGCAACCTCTATTGTCCATACTTCACAAAGAGAAATTTACATTATTAACAACTTATATCGACTTACAGATTTTGTTTAGGGAAAGAGAAAACTCAAACCATCCTCCTTGACTTGAACAGAAAAACATCCAATATTCAGATACAAGCCAACAAGAGGGAACAAAAATTCTTGAATCAAATTTTGTTTATTTACTCAGTAATAATATATTGTATACCGAATAAAATTCCACAAATTTCATGACTAATGACTCCAACCGGCCACCTCTGCAAGAGTGTTCCATTGTGTGCGTGTGTGTGTAGTTGAGACATGAGAGAGAGACAGAAGGATGAATAAAATTGAAGCAACAGCCTGAAAGTTAAAATTATTTTCCCAAGGAATAATCAGTTTTCTCTATGAGAAACACTCAAAAAAGCATCAACGTCTACAAAGACGAGAGTCACATAAATGACAAATAAAATAGTTCAGAGAAAGAGTGATGATAACTAATAACTATAAACCAAAACAATCTACTTTTAAAGCAGGGTAGAAACAAGTTGTCCATCCAACCGAAAACACTTATTTCATGCCCTTTTGGCAAAGTCTCCACTATCATCCTCATCATCCCTGAAGTTCTCATTCAGAGGATCATTTTGGTCAAAACCTCTGGCTGCTTCCTCTGTGTGGCCATCTTCAGCACTATCAAGTTGATCACCACCACCAAATCCCATATTGTCACCTCCAGAAGCACCAGTAGCAAAACTATCACTGCCGCCACCGCCACCGGCAACATTGAAACTCCCACTATCATAAGAGTTTGCACCAGATTGACCAAAATTATTTCCATAGCCAACACCACCAGTGCCATAGTTATCACCACCACCTGGGGCTCCATGGTTACCAGTGTCACCACTGTTACTCCCATATCCAACATTACCTCCATAATTTCCAGAAGAGGAACCAGCATTTCCACCATAGCCGCCGCCACCTCCATAGTTACCACCACCATAACTGCCACCACCATAGCTGCCGCCACCATAACCACTATTAAAACCTCCACCTCCAAAGTTATAACCTCCACCTCCAAAGTTACGAGGAGGTCGCTCAGCAGCATAGTTTACTCTTACTTGACGGCCATGAAGAACCTGCAACAAGAATTCAGACAGACAAATACCTATCAACCAAAAACTCCCACAAATCGTTCCTACATACATAGAGGAGCTATAGCCTTTGTGTAAAATCCAACATGGTGGACAATGATAAACTATTTTTTAATGCATTTTATTTCACTAGACAAATTAACCCCAAAACGATGATAAAACTATGCATGACAAATCTACACTACTTAGACTTAAATGTGCAAATTAAGGCCTACATGTATTTTTTTAAGTAAAGAAAATTATTCATAATCTAGAGTGTGAGACCATTAAGCAAACTTAATGCAAATCTTGTACAGAATGGAACAAAGAAATGAAACACATCTGACTGAAAAGAATTAAGAATTCTTCTTTTAGTAGCAGATGTGAAAGTGAACCAAATAAGATGGCAAGGGCACACTAGCTATAACATGAAGATTGAGGTCAAGACAGAGGAGACACTATGTTTTGAGACACCAATAGTGATTTTGACAGAGCATTAATTAACATATAAATAAATTGTTTAGATGCCATAATTTCAAATCTACAAGTTTGAACAAGAGGGTGATCAACTGGTCAAATATTTCTGCTTCAAATTCTCTGGAAAGGGGCTTCGATGAAATTCGCAAGAACAATGTAAGAACTTTTGCCAGAGTTCCAGCACCACGAAAAGAACAAAAGACGCAGGAGGATTACAAAATGCAAAGAAGTGCATTGCATCTACATCAATAGCACTTTATATTCTAATTTTGGTCTCTCTGTACAGGGTTGTACACATCTATAACAATGTTGCATTTTCACCCTTCTGGTTTAGACGATGAAATAAAGCACTCTAACCAATTCCATATCTATTGAATGGAAGTTGATAAAGTCAACTTTTATCAAATTTTTTTAAGGAGGAAGATCAATGTGTGGATATTTCCATGACCACCAATATCAAAGAAATAAGTAATTGCTCAAAAAACAAAATAATATTACCTGTCCATCCAAGGCCTGTAATGCACTAGAAGCATCCTCAGTACTGGTGTAAGTGACAAAGCCAAATCCTCTGGACCTGCCTGTTTCTCGATCCACAATCACTCTTGCTACAATAAATATCAAATTAATCAGCACTTATTACAAAGTCAAAACCGGTGAACAGCAAACAAACTCAAATGCAATTCTGAAATTCAATAATTAAAAAAACCAACAAGAGGAAAAATCTGGAAGTACACCAGTAGCACAAGCACCCAGACATGAAAACTCAAAGTTAAAAACAATTATTTATTTCCAAAGTAGTTCATAGATGACATCTAAGTGTCCACCCTGCATATGTTTTATACTCAAAAACAGAAACTAATACAGTACTTGAAACAACATGTAGAGAATGAAATTCAAGCATCTCAAGACTTTTCAATCCCCTTTATCATGACACCAAGGATCATTCATAGTAGCATACCTTCAATAACTTCACCATATTTGCTAAAAGCCTCTTTCAGACTTTGGTCATCTGTCTGGTATGAAATACCTGCAATTAAAAAAAAAATTACAAGAAGACCTAAAAGGACAAGGGAAGATGGTTTGATGCTACAATGGAGAGGAAAGATGGATGCACCTCCCACAAAAAGTTTCGAGCTTGGCGAGGTTGACATGCATCTAAAAACTTGAAAGAGGCCTGGTCTTGATGCAGACAACTGAGCATTGATCTGCGTATTTGTGGTTTGCCTAAGTATATTTCCAATTTTACTGAAGAAAGCCATTGTTACAACCTGAGAAAAAGTTAGATTTAAAAAAATATAGGTTCAGATTCAGCCAATGAAATTGATAAAATAAAATGACAAAAAGCTACTACCTTTTACTTCTTAAAAAAACTTACTTGTGGTATAACAATGGAACTAATAAAATACCAGCGGCAAACAAAATAACAAGCTATAATCTACTGCTTTGGGTAAAATCAAACTTTAATAATTATATAGAAAGTGCAAAAAAAAAAAAAAAAAGAGGTGGTTACTACAACAATCACTCTTATATTGTACTTACAAGATAGCTTCTAAAGCAATATAAAAGGAAGGGCCACCACCTATTAAGAAACCAGAAAAATAACAAAAACTAATCAAAACATGTACAGTATTTTTGCTAGGAACAATATTATGAGGGCAAAATCTTAAAGCATACTCACAGACGAACCTATTTTACACGATTTAAACTTTAAACCCAAAAACCAAAAATTATCAAAATCTTGATTTTTCTAAAACTACGTGTATTTTCGAGCTCAAACAGCACAACAAAAAATAACAACAGTTAAATACCCATTTTCAATCATTCCCAAAAACCAACCATTGATCTTAAGCAACAAAACAACAACAATCCAAGTCTATCATTATATATTAATACAAAACGTCGATACAGGAATTTGATACTTAAAAAAAAACTTTAACGACACATCACCTAAAGAAACCCTATCAAAGAAAATAAACGAAAAGCCAAAGGAGCAGATCAACAATGAAAAATGAAAAGAGAGTAAGGGAATAGAAAGTTTAGGGCTTTTCTTAAGCCTACCCTACTGTTTATTGCAGCGAGAGAATGAGACTCTGCTTCGTATTTCTTCGCAGCTTTCTTTCCCAGGGTAAAACCCTCGGGGGGGGGTTTATGTAGACGGTGCGGCGTTCAGATACCAGATATTTGTGATGAAATTGTGTGGGACGTGGGACTTTATTATTGGGCTGTGTTTTTGGCCTTAGTAACAGCCGGAAAATGTCTCATTTTTCCTTTTTGAGTTTTTCTTTTCATATCATGGTAACATTTGTAAATTTTTCAAAGGGGCAATGGACTGGGCATTTTTATCCATTATATAATTTATTAATATTAATACATAAATACTAGTAAACAGGTTTTTTTTTTAATATTTCATACCTAAGAAAACCTCTCTAAAGTATATGTGATAATGATATGGTCACAGTAATATTAGTGTTTGTAAGTCAGCGAGAGTATCAGTGTAGTTCCTAAATTGTATTGCACAATGCCTTCGTTTCAAAGTAACAAGCAGAAGAAATAGAAATTCCCGATTAAAAATGTTGCAGCCGTGGCTCAATATAATATGAACTCTGTTAAGATAATTACACAGATTAAGAGTTATACAATAATTCTGATAATTAATTAAAATTAAATTATGAATAAGGTTAAGATTAACTTTATATATATATATATTTATAACCTATTGTATATAGTATATTTCTCAATATATACAATTTAAATTTATAAATTTATATTATATAAAATTTTTCTTTTTTGTAATTAATTGGATACGAGTAATGTGATTATTGAAAAAGTAATTGAAAAAAAAAATAAGATTATTATGTTTGATTTACAAATATTTTATTAAAAATATTATGTTAATTTTTAAATTTGTATCAAAATGAGCGCTCGTAAACATTTAACTTGTAATATTCTAAAAAAGTAGATGGTAATATTGTTGAAAAGTTTGTTAATCATAATAAGTTGGCATTAATAATATAGTTTGAGTACCCATTTACTATTTTTTTTTATATATAAAATTTCAATGATGATAAAGTATTATTTCTCTTTCATTTTTATAGCATGATATCTAAACCCTAAACCCTAATTTCCCTCTAAACCCTGTCCAAAGTCCACATATTTTTGGAAAATATTACCTCATTCATGGCCCCCTGTGCTTCTTTATTTGGTTACACTGCTCGCTTCTCTCTTTCAACTGTAAAATTTATAATAATTAATTTCATAAAAGGTCGACATATTTAAAAATAATTAAATTATGAATATTATGATTTTGTATTAATATAAATTTGACAACATATTATTTAGATTCTTATTTTAGTTTATGAAAATTGAATTTAAATGTTAGTTCACAAATTAATACTACAGTCTTTATTCATTTTTTATTTAATCTAAATTTCATTTTTATAACTATATTTTAGTTTTTTTTTCAATTAAATCTATTTACATCTCATTGTAATATATATATATATATATTTTTGCATAACTTAGTTGGTTATCGGTTATTTTGTAAGTAGTTTATACTTTATACTACATAATTATTGATATTATATATTTTTTGAATTGAAAGAAGAAAATTTTGAATTTTATTTTTTAAAGGAAAAAATTATGTATTAATTTATAATTCAAACACGATGATATAATTTTTTTTTAATTAAAAGACAGTTTGAAACTAATAAGGTAAGGTACAACCCAACTTTCCACAACAAACTATTATAAAAACAAACGAATCCAATACATTACTCGTATTGCGTTTTAACAGTGATTTCCAGTCTACGAGTAATTAAAAAGGAGAAGGCATCATGTCATATGATGTAAAGCTAATTAATTTCATAAATTTTTTAATAATGTTAATAAATCAATTGTTAAATTTAACAATTTATACATATTTAAAAACATGTAAAATTTTAAATAAATTTGATATCTTTATTATATTAATCAATAACGTTAAAATTTTTTGATTTGTAACTAACATTCAGGATTTTGTTGTATAAAATAAATAAATGAATAAATAATTTAATTAATTTAAAATTTAACATAAAATATTAAAATTAAATTTGTCAAAGTAAAATGTTAAACACCCAGCGGAAGCAGCTGTGACGTCCGGTTAATGGTCAAAAGCGAGGCAATGTTAACAAACAGTCAAACCCACGCCTTTAAATTCCCATTATTCAACTCCTACAAGAAATCAAAAACAAAACAAAAAGAGTGTAACAATGAAATTGTGAAGTACAGAATTAAAGAAAAAGAAAATCCTAGCCGTATATTTTCCACGAAATTTACATGTCTCTCCAGCCGCTTTCAAAACCCTTCGCCAACGTTTCCTTTTTATTTTTATTTTTATTGTTTTGCAAATTTGGTTATGCATCTACCACTTTTATGTACTTTCGTTTTGGGTTTTGTTGAGACAAAAATCTCCTAGCCATGACTTGTGTTTCTCTTTCTCTTTTGAGAATTGGATGTTGGTTTGACTTTCTTTTTCTGGGTGTGATGCTCCAATTCGACGATATCAAGGAAATCAAAATTTAAGGTTGGGTGTTTTTTATTTTAAACTATTTTGTAGGTGAGATTAAATTTTTTATATATATGGGTCTTTGAAGGTTCTTTCAAGTTTGCTTCTTTGGCCAATTTCTTCATATGGGTTCTTTAATTTAAAGTTCTGTTTTATGATTAAATGTTTATAAGAATAGCAAAAAGTTTGGAATTTTGGTTGATTTGATGATCAAATCCATTTTCGCTTGATTGTTTTCAGCTATTTCAAGCTTCATCTTTTATTATGAGCTTTTCCATCTTTTTTTATCCCTGGCGTTGCTTAGGATAGTTTAGATGGGTAAGGTGGAAAAACAAAGCTTCCTTTTGTTCTTCCAGTTCCATCTTGTTCAACCTATGTGCTAAGAGGAGCATCTTACTCACTTTTGATTTAGCTGGGGTGGGGAGTTGTCTATTTGATTCATATCTTGAGTTCGAAAGCATTGAATTGTATAGATCGGCTCTTGATCCTATCTGGTGTTTATTGAACCCAAATCCTGGTCTTTGCATCATGTGAAGTTGTGTATGGTTTTGGCAAGGAGATGGTTTAGGTTCTATGTATCACCCGAGGGGAAGTTTTGGCCTGGATTGATTGCCTGGGCAGTTAATTGGTGTTCAGTCAAATAGTTGATTTGATCTTCTTCTGTTTGTTGTGTAATTTTCTTCTGATATGGACGAACGTCAATCTGCTGTCCCAACATATGAAGGAGATCTTCATGTGGTTGCTGCTGCTCACCATATTGTCAAGGCATTAGGAGCAGCTAAGAATCTTAGTCATGATTTAAGGAAAATCCTTATCGATCTTGATACCCACTTGTCAATGATAACTTCAAATATAGACAGCAAAGGAGGAAGAGGATTTTTTGATGTTGAGGAGCGACTTAAACAAGCAGAGAGAAAGATTGTGAGTTGGGAATCAGATCCAATGATGATATGGGATTCTGGACCTAGGAAAGCTTCTGAGTATCTAGAAGCTGTGAATGAAATTCAAACGCTGATTGATGGTTTACGAGGCTTGTCTGTGAATGAAAATAGGAAACAGAAGGAACTTCTTCACCATGCAGCGGTTGTTCTGCAGATGGCAATGTCAAGTCTTGAGGAAGAGCTTGTTCATATACTTGTTCAACATAGGCAACAGTTTGAGCCCAAACAAATGTCTTCTCATTCTAATCGAAAGGATGTTGTTTATGACGAGTCATTTGTTTCAGTTGAGGATGAACCAGCTGAGGAAACATCCGGAAGAAACTGTAGTAGTGATGACAGCAGTGAATATATTGTAGATTTGGTCCATGCAGATGTAATTCCTGATATCAAGTCCATTGCAAAAGTTATGTTTACTTCAGATTACAGTCAGGAATTTTGTGAAGCTTTCATTGGTGTGCAGAAAGAAGCATTGGAGCAGTATTTTGCCACTATTGAAGTGGGAAAACTGAGCATTGAGGATGTGCTCAAAATGGAGTGGACTAGCATGAGTAGTGAGATGAATAAATGGACCTGGTCTATGAAGATCATCTTTCGGGTCTATCTTCCTAGTGAAAAATGGCTATGTGACCAGGTCTTAGGGGACTTTGGATCCGTTAATCCATTGTGCTTTCTTGAGATCTCAAAGTCAACAATTCTTTGCCTCTTGAACTTTGGTGAAGCCATAGCAATGGGGCCTCATCAACCTGAAAAGTTGCTTCGCTTGCTTGACATGTATGAGACTTTGGCAGATCTTCTTCTAGATATAGATACATTGTTCTCAGAAGAGGCTGGTTCTTTTCTGAGGATTGCATTCCATGAGCTCCTGGAGAGATTGGGTGATTCTGCTGCAGCGGCATTTAAGGCATTTGGAGTTGCTATTTCTTCTAATAGATCCTTATACCCCTTCCCTGGAGGTGGAGTTCATCCTCTCAATAAATATGTCATGAATTACATCAGGATGTTCCCTGAATATTGCAACACTCTTAATTTGCTTCTCAAGGACCAAGATGCAGATGCCACAAATCCAGTAACTGAGCCTGAGTATGGGCAGAATGTCTCAATTTCCACGTCTTCGCCAGTTGTTTGTCACCTTCGATCAATTACAAGTTCTTTGGAGTCCAATCTTCAGAAGAAATCAAAACTGTACAAGAATGAGGCTTTACAGCATATTTTTTTGATGAACAACGTCCATTACATGGTTCAAAAGGTTAAGGGCTCTGAACTCAGACTCTTCTTTGGAGATGAATGGATTCGTAAGCATAATGCAAAGTTTCAGCAGTATGCAACGAACTATGAGAGAGCTACCTGGAGTTCAGTCGTGTCTTTGCTCAAGGATGATAATCCAGGTTCAAGTTCCATGTCAAAGTCCACTTTCAAAGACAGGTGCAAGGGCTTTAGCGTTGCTTTTGAGGAGGTATACAAAAGCCAGACAAGTTGGTGTATCCCAGATCCTCAGCTTCGTGAAGATTTGAGAATTTCAACGTCGCTTAAAGTTGTCCATGCATATCGAACTTTTCTTGGGAGAAACCCTGCTCATATTGACGACAAATGTGTTAAGCATACTGCAGAAGATGTGGAAAAATTGCTCTTGGACCTTTTTGAAGGGTCACCAAGATCATTGCGCAGCTCGCGCAGATGGTGAAGACTTAAGGTCTTAAGTTTCAGGCTTTCAGCCATTCGTTTCTTTCTCACTCCTTTTCCTGATAAAGTCATGATTGTCATAGATGTAAATGTGCTTGTAAGTAACATGTCTACTTCCAAAATTTCTGTTTCTCCTGTTGTAATATCCACAATTGGGTCTCTGATTGCATACGAGTGGCTGTGCCTGTGCTTCTCTTGGCTTTAAATAACATGGTTAGCTCTCATGCAAGCGGCAAGCTATACTTTTATGGCGAACTCAATTCTAGGCGCATGATCCAGCTTATTCTCTAGGTTCACTGTTGCGTTAGAATTGTTTTTGTTTTTTGGAAGATTGGTAGTATTTTTCTGCTCGAGGATGTGAGTATACTTACTACAGAGTACATATATGTGTGCAGATTCCACTAAATTGTAATGATGAGGAAAGGAAAAAGTCAACTTCCCATTATCTCTGGCTTAGATTGACAAGAATCTGAACCTTTCATAACTACTTTAATTTTGGGTGGGACGCATTGATGCCTCACTTAGTTGCATGAGGTTTATGATGTTGATGAACAGTTGAGGAGGCATTGTAGTTCCCATCAATGAGAAAGGACAGTTGCATTGAAGGTATAAATGTGCATGTGCGCAATGTAAGTTATTGGTTGGGTGTTGGTTGCATTTTAATAGCGTTTCCTTCCAGCCATGGCTTCCAGTAGACGAGATCTCTTGTTAATTGTAGTCATTATCAGGGTATTCCTGATGAATTCTTAAGAGACGATGCAGGCCTACCTGTAGAAAGTACTACAATTTGCATAAGACTGGAAAGGGTAAACGTTGCTTTTGCCTTTGAGATGTGCGTTCAAGTCCCATTCACGGGAAATGGGCACACTGGTTAACACAAATGTCTAGCTTTCAGATTTTTCTAACATCCCAATTCTACAGCACAGAACCACAGTATATTGTTGTAAGTTGCATTCATCTCTGCCTCCAACATCCAAATCATGATGTTTGAGAGCAGATGTGTCTCCTACAGCACAAGTCCGTGCCCCATTTTTGTGCTATTATCCACTGATCCGAGCGCTTCATGCATTAATCAAGATCTTTCACACGATGGAACAAGCCATGACCACACTCTCCTTCACCTCCATAATCATTATCAACATATTTCGCAACCTTCTTTGGCGCTTACTAGAGTCCAAATTCTGTTAATTCCCCTCAACCATCTCTGAGGACTCCTTAACAATCTCCATTCTACCCCATACTTAAATTTCAATGCAGGCCAACGAATAAAGACTACAGCCTAACACGTTGGGACTTTACTGAAAGTTTAAGGTCCCTACTTCCTACATCCTAATTTGCAGTATTAGTGAGAATAATTTCCGAACCACCCAAACTATAGGAAAACTTGTGACATATAAACACTCAACTAGAATAATAAAATAAGAAACAACAAATCTGCAACTCTTCCAATCTGTTTTGCAACAGAAATATGCTAACCAGAACACAAGTTTTAAACTGCTTAGAACCTTTCACCCATCCAGGAGCACAAGCTTCCATATAGATCTGGAAGAAGAGGGAAGCTAAAGCATGGTAAATAAAACTACACACTTCCCTCATGGACAAATTAAGTTACATCCTCCCCACCCTTGAAGAAGAACAGCAAGAAGAAGTCAACATAAGATGGGAAGCCTAAAAGCAATAAGTGTTAACCATCTTCATATCTTTTTAAATTTCATTTGCAAAGTTTAGCACTTTATTTGCAAAATATAGGTCAAAACAAACATGAGTAATAGCATGTAGCTTAAGCTAGCTATAGTTAAAAATTATTCACTTTCAAGGGGAAAAAAGGTAAAATCACTTTTAATAAGGAAGTGAGGCATCCAATTAGTTAGAGCCAAAGTGCAAATAGCAGTTGAGAATGTGAAGCTTTAGAAAGTAATGACACCTACGGCAAAAGAAGAACCCATCAAGGTGCATAAACTTCATGAATCAAAACTCTCGTCTCTTCAAATCCAAACTTCTGCCAACTTTCAAATATGCTTGAAGGTACCTTTTGAAATACCTCCGTAGATTGATTCAATTTCCCTTTCAAGTTTCAAGAGCACCAAGACTAATGATTACCAAGTTTTTCTTCTCTACTTTTCTTCTTCCATGGCATTTTCTGTTGGATGCTCCTCAAATTGCTAACTAGCTCCCACCTTAATACTAATTTGGGTTCTCTTTTTGGTAAACAGATATCAATTCATCTTCATTTCCTTAAAAAATTTATTTAGAGCACTTACTTTAGATTCCAACTTCAAAAGATAGATTAACACTGTTGACATATAGATTCTGCAAGATTTCAAGAAAGTCATTTTAACATTTTTCACCAACTTTAATACCAATAAATAAATCCTATAAGCAAGCATTAAAAACTTGATGAAGAAATAATGAATCATAACAATTGATCATGAACTTAGTGAACTGTATTCTATGACTTAAGTGTTAAATAATTATATTTTAAAACATCACAAGATTCAAAGAACATTGTACAATGAAAACTTCAAGCAGGAACCTTGTTAAGAAATAAAACAACACACCTAGTGCTATTGACACAGGAAGAGCAGGTAGAGCTTTCTGATAAAATGCCAATAGCATCAATGTAATGCCCAGACCAGCTACAATAGCGAGATAACATGCATACACTGCCATAAAATCATACATTGCAGCCCTACCAACTAACACGCTGTAGAAGATAAAGTCCCCCAATCCAAGCTTGATAGCACCAGATGAACCCAACCCCATGCCCTCTAGCACCAAGCTTTCAGCTGACGTTCCATCTTGACCATTCATTCGATGATCAATTAATGGTGCAGAAAGCTCAGCATCCCTTTCTGAAACCTGCCCCTCTTCCACTCTAGCAATTCTTGTGTCATTATGGCTGCTCTGAACAGTACCAACACTGGAGTTTGCATCAGAAACGACATTGCCATTCAAATTCAAATTATCCTCCAAATCCTGCCTAACATTTCGCCTTTCTCTCCATACCCTCCTTTGAACCGTATTCTCCCCTGAACCTGAATCACGATGAGTAACAGGCCTTGCCTCATAAACCAAAGCTGGGATATCTTCATCCCTAGACACAGCCAGCTCTACAAGAAGCCTTAAGGGGCCAACAGGCAACAATACCGCTGCAAGATCATACAATGCCATAGCAACCAATAACACCCAAGTAGTCCATTCAGGCAAAAGAGTAAACCAATAGGCAACCAACATTCCAATCAAAACCAAGTACCCTTGTGTCACAAAAATTGCCATTTGGGACATAAACACAGCCAAAACACCAACAGCAGCAAAATTAAACAGAACCACCAAAAAGGTAATACAATCAATAGGAACGCTGAATTTCTCAATAAAAATCAAGGCAATTTCACCACCCATGAATCCCAAGACAACAAAAGAAGAGAAACCCATATATATTTTCAAGAACTTAGTGCATCTAAGGTAAAAAAGGAGCACCAAAATGAAGGTGACAACGGTGACAACAGCTACAAAAGCTAATGAATTCAAAAGGGCACCTACGAATTTGTCCCAAGACGAATCTGAGCTGGTTTCTGCGTATGCTATGGTTGCAATCGATGTTACTGAAGTTGATGAATTTGAGTTAAGAATTGAGACCAAGAGGACAACTAGGAACATGCAGATTGAAACAGGGGCTAGGATTCTGATGATTTCTTCTCCTAATGAATCAAGGAGGGTTTTGGGTCTCTGGTTTTGATCCATCTGGGTGGCAAATTTGGGATCAAGTTTGAATCTCGGGGGGTTCAAGGTTATTTGCTAGGGATGTTGATATAAAAATACTAAACTCTGCAGGGTCCGTTTTATTCATATTTGACCAGGGTATGGCGGAAGAAAGGACCCATGAAACGTTGACTGTGATGACATTTTGGGTAGTAACATTAGCGGCTGAAACTGAGCGTGCGACTGTTTCACTTTCACCTATTAATTAAATATTTCCCTTTCTTTTTCTTTTTCTTAGCAAGAGGAGTATTTTTTTTAATTAAACATTTATATTTTAAATTGTTAACTAAAACACAGTATAGTAAATTATAAATTATGAAGTCCTTTTTCCCTTGTTGAATTCCACTGATTTTGCTTTATCTATTTACTAGTATTTTGTGCTTGAATTTTTTGAAATTCCAAGTAACTTTGCTCAAAACTTTTTATTTTGTAATTTGTATATGAAAATACACAATCTTTTTCCACATTGATTTTGACCCATGAATTTATATTCAAAATGATTTGGAAGATGAAGATTTAAATTTTCAATTATTTTTTAAGTGTGAATTTACTATTGTATGATATTATGTTAATCGTAAATAATAAATATTGGTACTTGGTAGCCATTGTTTACGTCAAAGAAAAATATACTAATACTAAGGGATCGCATATAGGTGGAAAGAAATTTGAAGGCTAAAAGCCCCAAATAAGATTTATTCTATTTCAAAAAAATTTTGTCTTGTTATGAAAAATTAACTTTATAAGAACAAATAAAAATAACTTAAAAGAATATTTATAAAGAAGAAAGAAAGTATTTAGAGGAGAAAAGAAATCTTATTAAAATATGTATACAAATGAACTAAAAGAAACCTATTTATAAGTAAATAACACATTTACAAGATGAGGATAACACTTAGAAATTAGATATATTATATCCTAATCTAATCTGATTTACATCAAATCTAAATATAGATAACATAAATGGATATTCACAAAATATTCATAACACTCTCCCTTGAATATCCATTATATTAAGAATATACCTCATTAAAACCTTATAAGAAAAAAGCCTCATAGGAAAAAATTCAAGTGAAGGAAAAAGAATACATAATTCTTTTCAAGAATACATAATTCTTTTCAAGAATGCACTTATGAAATACTGCCTCATTAAAAAACCTTATCAAGAAAAATCCAATGAGAAAAAACTTGATGAAGGAAAAAAGAGTATAATGCGTATTTTACTCCCCCTGACAATTGCATTATTTAAGATCTTTAAAATGGCGTATCCCGATCTTTTGTACCAACTTTTTAAATGTTGCAGTAAGAAGGGCTTTAGTAAACAAATCTGCTAGATTGTCACTTGAACAAATTTGTTGAATACTAATATCATCCTTTTCTTGGAGATCATGAGTGAAAAGAATTTTGGTAAAATATGTTTTGTTCGATCGCTTTTATTGTATTCTTCCTTTAATTGTTTCTACGAGCAATATTATCCTCATATAATGATGTTGGAATTTCTTTCTTGGTTGGCAAAATACACATTTCTCGAACATGTTGAGTTACTGATCTTAACCAGACACATTCACGACTTGCCTCATGAATTGCTAAAATTTCTGCATGGTTAGAAGAAATAGCAACTATAGTTTATTTTACAGAATGCCATGAAATAGTTGTACCTCTATATGTGAATACATAACTTGTCTAGGATCGAGCTTTGGCTGAATTTGATAAATATCTTGCATCTGCATAACCGATTAAATCTAATTTTGATGCATTTGAATAGTATAAGCCCATAT